AAAACTGGGATTTTTCTGGTATTGCTCCCAAATGAACCAGTATAAGATACTGGATCTGTGGGCACAGAGCCCTTTTCCCTTGTGCTCTCAAAGGTGCCCCTGCTGGTGTCCCAGTAGCATACCAAAGGAAGTCACATGCAGAAAACATATACACCAAGGAGAGGAAAAGAAGGAGATTGTGACAAAGAACAGAGTGACACTGGGACTGGCAACCAGTGGCAGAGAGGAAAATGGGACTAGGTGCAGGAGGTATGAACAGGAATTTGGGACTGCCTGAACAAGGGGACTGGGACCCACCGCAGGACAGTAAAAATGGAATTAATTGGTGAAGAAGACAAAAACTGGAAACCAGATTAGAAAACATAAAGGACTAATAGCAAATACTAAAAGAAAGTTTAGCTTGAACATTGAGACCAAAGGGGTGAAAGACTGAGGCTGGGAGGAGAAGTTTTTAGGAATTGAGACTAGAGTAGAGTAGGCAAAAAAAGAAGGGATTGACAAATAATGTCACAGGTGGGCAAGCAGTGGGATTGGTGTCAAGGACAAATAGGAGGGGATAGAAGAGACAGGGTTAAGCGTAAAGAGAACAAGCAGAAAAAAGAACGCTTACTTAGACCTCACTCCCCTCCAGAGCCTGGAACAGAACCAAAGTTTCATAACAATTACTTGGTTGTCAGCAAATGATCTCTGAAATCCACTGCCAAAGTGCATTTCATGTCCCTCTAGTGCTGGTCCACACAGAGGATCAGAAGCTACTGTTACTGTCAGTTATTCTGTTAGCTGAAGTGGCAGAAGGCTCTACACTAAATCCCAGTTTTCCAACTCTGATAAAGGCTATGTGGGTGTAAATCTGATGTAATTACTGTTTTTCAGTTTGCTCTTCTAAAATTTAGGAAGCTGCACACACAAAACTGTGTAATAAGAATGTTAAATATGAGCTGTCACAATCCAGCTGGAGGATCTGGAGAGATTATAGCATTGTCAAAGCATAGCTTAGGGGAAACAGGAGTGGTACTTTGCTTCAGGGCTCAGCATGAGGAGCTGGGGAGTTAGTCATATAGCAGAGAGAGAAAGGTTAGGATGCTGTCAGTCTGACAGGGAAGCTGGGTAGAGTACAGTTCTTGAAGTCACATCTGAAGAGGTACAGCACCAGGATGTAAATACTTCAGCCTTTTCTCTAAAACCAGTTACTTTCTTATGAGATTTTCTATAGCATGCATCACTAAAGCATCTAACTGTCCATAAGTATTAATTACTTCATTTTCACAATGTAACAGTAAGGCTAGAATGGTATTATCTCCATTTTATACTTAGGGGGCTGAAATACTGAGAGTTTCAGGTCAAACATATTCCTCAGTTTGGGGTGTTTGAGTTTGCATTGAAAGGTCTCAATTTTTTGTATGTAATATATAAACAGCACTATTTCTGAATACCTGTAATGTTGTTTTGAGTTTGAGCCATGCTAAGGAATGTATAATGTCACAAGTTTAAGACTCTAGAAATATGGTTTATTTTTCTGACTGCCATTTGTTGTGCTGCCTTAGTTAAATTGTTTAAATTCAGTGCTGTGTTTTGCCATCCATAAAGTACAGATAATAGAGATGGTAAAAAAAATTATCAAAATTTATCATCAGAACTGTTTAGAAAAATGGCTTTTGATCAGATTTTAAGGCTTGATTTTATTTTTACTGTTTTGAAAACATCTAGTTCTAAGCCCCTGAAAATTGACTTTTTGTTCCTGGGCAAGTGAAAGCCTTCTCTTCTCCAGACTAAGTAACCCTAGTTCTCTCAGCCTTTCCTCATATATCATGCCTCCCAGGCTCCTAATGACTTTTGCTACTCTGATCTGGACTCCTTCCCAACTGTTCACATCCTTCTTGAAGTGTGGGGCCAAAAACTGGACAAGTAATTCCAGATGAGGCCTCACCAGTGCTGAGCAGAGTAGAACAGTAACTTCCCTTGATTGCACGTGATGCTTCTGTAAATACAATCCAGTATACTCTAGGCTTTTTTTAAACAAGAGAACACTTTTCTCTCCTATTCAGTTTATTGTCTATTGCAACCCCCAGGTCTTTCTCTGGAGTACTGCAACCTACTTAGACATTCCCCAGTCTGTATTTAGACATGCAATTATTCCATCTGCAAGTGCAGGATTTTGCACTTGTCCCTGTTGAATCTTATCTGACTGATTGCAGCCCATTTCTCCAGCCTATTCAGGTCATTCTGGATTCTAGCCCTACCCTCTGGAGTATCTGCAATGCCACCCAACTTGGTGTCATCAGCAACCTGTCAACTTGAAAGCATCTAAATTCTCTAAGTAATCTCTAACCTGTTCTTCTGCTCCTCTAGGCTGTTTGCCTCCTTCACAAACTTTCCTGCTGCACTCAGCATCTGGGAACTGTCTCTTTTTGTGAAAACCAAAATAAAAAAAGGCAATTAACATTTCAGCTTTCTCTGCATCATCTGCAGGGAAGTGGGTTTTCCATTTACCACAGAAAAACAGAGGGGGGACTGTGGATTTTCCCTTTGAAATGAGAAAAATGTGGATATCCCATTTTAACAGGGAAACACACATATTTTCCAGTTTTGCTAAGAGCTCTCTGCAGGCTGGCAGAGTTTCAGCCTGCCAGGGGCTGAGGGGAGCAAGAGAAGGGCTGTCAGGAAGGGGGTGCCACATGCATGTGCACAGGCTCACATGCATGGCTGCCAGACAGCTTGGAGAGCAGCTTCTGCAGGTAAATCTGAAGAGGAGTGGGATTGAGACCCCCATAGAGAGGGAGCTGGGCAGGGCTGGGGCTGGGGCTGGGCCTGCTGCCCTGCCCAGGTGGTGCATGGGGCTTGGGGC